AAATAAACCTGAGTTTTGGTGAAATCACTCTCTGGCTATTTTGTTAAGCACGGACTTAACAATTGGCGACGAGGATGGGATTCTAGTGCGGGTAGGCAGCCCCGCTAGTCTCAACCCCACGACGGACAACAGCGAGTCGCAACTCGCCGTGGCAGAGCAGCAACAGGCACCACCTGAGCCGGTGGCAGCGATTGCAGCTATGGCCAATAGCCCAAAGTTCGAGGCATTCGAACCAGCGACCGAGGACTGGGACACTTACCTGCTGAGGTTCTGGTTCCACCTCGAGGCGAACTATATCACCACGGAGGAGAAGAAGCGGGCTACCCTCCTGAGCTCTTGTGGCAAGAGCGTATTCGATATCGCCAGGTCCCTGGTGGCACCAGTGGACATAAAGACCGTGACATTCAAAGAGCTGACGGACAAATAGAAGGCACACTTCTCCCCGCAGCCGTCGGAGATCGCAAGCCAGCACGCCTTCTTCAAAAGAAGCCAAGCGCCAACCGAAACCGTGGCTGAGTATGTAGCGGCTCTACGTAAAGCTGCCAGACCCTGCAACTTTACCGATGTGGAAGAGGCCCTACGAGACCGGCTGGTGTGCGGTATGCGGGACGAACGGCTGCAGCAGCATTTGTTCGCTAAGGCCAAATTGACCTGGGCCGACGCTTACTCAGAGGCCATCGCGGCAGAGATGGCGGACAAGTCGACCCAGGAGGTGCGTCAGCGGCTGGCTGCGACAGAGCTACGCGTCCACCACCAGGGGGCCGAGGGCGAGCGTGAGTGCCCGCCAGCAGAAGTCTGTGCTGTTGACAGGCCAGCGAACAAGCGGACCCAAGTGAGGACTTCGTCCGTCCCTCCTTGTACCGGCTGTGGCGGGAAGCACCCTCGAGAGAGCTGCTGGACCAAGGACGTCGACTGCAGAACGTGCGGGAGGCGGGGCCACATCGCTCGTGCTTGCAGAGCGCCAAAACCTTCAACGTCCCCAGCGAAACCAAGGAGCCAACGTCCACGAGCAGCACAGTGCGAAAACAGCTGCCAGATGACATCGAGCCTGTCATCCACACCTTCGGTTCGACGCATCGGAGATCAACGTGACCATCCACCTCGACGGCGTTCCATGCAGCATGGAGGTCGACTCTGGATCGTCAGTGACCGTGTTGTCTTCCCAATCGTGGCAGCAGCTGTTCCCCACCCGGAGTCGTCGTCGGCTGCAACCAGCGGACACCGAAGTGTCCGACTTTCAGGGCAAGCGTATACCTCTGGCGGGGAGGGATACGTTTGAAGTTGAATTTAAGGGGAAACGTGCTAAACTTTCCTTATTGGTTGCTGAGGGGAACAGAGTCAATTTATTGGGGCTGGATTGGTTTGAACCACTTGGTATTGCTATTACTGGTATTAATAGTGTGACAAAAAATAAATGGTCTGTACTGTACAGTGAGTTTACAGATGTGTTTGGGGGTCGTCTGGGAAAATATACAGGCCCCCCAGTGTCTTTTCAGCTTGATCCTGCGGTGAGGCCAGTCCGCCTCAAATATAGGAAGGTTCCTATTCCGCTGAAACCGAGGATCGAAGCTGAGCTGGACAAGCTCATAGAGCAGGGTGTTTTAGAGCCGGTCCCATTCAGCAAGTGGGAAACACCCATTGTGACCCCCGTGAAACCGGACGGATCGGTGCGTATCTGTGCTGACTATAAATGCACAATTAATCGGGCATTACAGCAGCACTCATACCCCGTGCCGGTGATTAGCCATGTCTTGGCATCGTTGGGGGGGGGAAAGGTTTTTGCGAAATTTGACCTTGCCCAGGCGTACCAGCAGTTCCCGGTGATCAAGGACGCTGCTGAAGCCCAGACAATTGTAACCCACCAAGGAGCTTTCCGAGTAAATAGGCTCCACTTTGGAGTAAATGTGGCCCCAGGGATCTTCCAGGGTCTTATGGAAGGGTTGCTGAGGGGGGTACCGGGGACGGTCCCTTATTTTGACGATGTGCTCATTGCTTGGGGATCCGATGAGGAACTTATGCACCGAGTCAGAGAGGTGCTCAAGCGCTTCAGTAAAGCAGGGTTGAAGGTCAAACAATCTAAATGTCTGATCGGGGTTGATAGTGTGGAGTTCCTGGGGTTCAGAGTGGACCAAAGCGGAGTACACCCCACTGATGAGAAAGTGAGAGCGATCCAAAATGCCCCAAGCCCCACAAATAAAAAAGAGCTGCAGTCATTCCTCGGGCTGCTCAATTTTTATCACACCTTCCTCCCCCACAAGGCGTCAGTGGCAGCACCTTTACATGCGCTCCTACACAAGGACGCAAAATGGCGGTGGGGTGCCGAGCAAAAGAGGGCTTTTGACGGGGTAAAAGCGTTGTTATCGTCGAATGCAGTGTTGACCCATTACGATGACCAGAAGTTGTTGGTTCTGGCCGCGGATGCCTCTCCTTATGGGGGTGGGGGCGGTGCTCAGTCATGTAATGGAGGACGGACGGGAGGCCCCCGTCGCGTTTTATTCGAGGTCGCTGTCAGAAACTGAGAAAAACTATGCTCAAATTGACAAAGAGGGATTGGCGCTGGTATCAGCGGTTAAGAAATTCCATGACTTCTTGTTTGGCAGACATTTCCTGCTTGTGACAGACCACAAGCCCCTGCTTGGGATTTTTGCCCCGGACCGGCAACTCCCAAATATAATGTCTGCACGGATGCTCCGCTGGGCCCTGTTTCTATCGGCCTATGACTATGACCTGGAACACCGGCCGGGCAAGGCCATCGGACATGCAGACGCTTTAAGTCGCTGCCCTCTGCCCGGCCAGGACTTAGACCCTGCGCCAACCACCTCAGTGTTGGCCATCGAGGAACTGCCACAAGCTCCCATCACCTCCAAGGACATTGCCGCTGCGTCGGCTAAAGACACTGTAATTTCGAGAGTTCTTAACTGGGTTTGGAGGGGGTGGCCGATGGGAGCTATGGAGCCGGAATTTCATCATCAGAGACGCCAATCTCTCTTGGCCAATCTCTCTTGCGCACCTCCAAGGACATTGCCGCTGCGTCGGCTAAAGACACTGTAATTTCGAGAGTTCTTAACTGGGTTTGGAGGGGGTGGCCGATGGGAGCTATGGAGCCGGAATTTCGTGTGTACAAAGTGCGCCAAAACGAGCTGTCAGTTTCAAAGGGCTGTTTACTGTGGGGGAACCGGGTGGTGGTGCCTCACAGTCTTAGACAAAAAGTGCTGAAATCACTGCATGAGGGCCATCCAGGCATGGTCCACATGAAGACACTGGCCCGTGGGTATGTCTGGTGGCCTGGGCTCGATGCCGAAATCGAGGATTGGGTGCGAGTGTGTGAGCCCTGTCAGCAGGCTAGGCCTGAACCGCCAACCGCCACTCCGCAGCATTGGGAGTCGGCGGGAAAACCTTGGTGGAGGCTCCACCTCGACTTTGCCGGGCCAGTTCAGGGGTAAATGTTCCTTATAATTGTTGATGCGTATACGAAATGGTTGGAGGTTGCGCACATGCATTCAACCACTTCCGAGTCTGTCATCAGTGTGCTGCGGCGCCTTTTTGCGACCCATGGTATACCAGATGTATTAGTAAGTGATAACGGAACGCAATTTACATCTGAAGAGTTTATAAAGTTTTTGTCCGATAACGGAATCAGACAAATAACTTCGGCCCTGTTCCACCCGGCATCAAACGGCCAGGCGGAAAGAATGGTAAGAACCACCAAAGAAGCATTGAGTAAATTGGTATGTGGTGATTGGGGGGTAAAATTAGCATCGTTTTTGTTAAGACAGCACGTTACCCCTTGTTCAGCAACCGGCCGCAGTCCAGCCGAGATGCTGATGGGCCGGAGGCTAGCAACACTATTAGATAGGTTGCATCCGGACCTTAATGACCTGAAACCTCAACAGCAGAGCGAACAACCTAAGGTCCGGACGTATGAAAAAGGTGAAAATGTATATGCTAGAAATTATGCCAGCGGTCACTCATGGCTCCCAGCCACTATTGAGGATGTTGTAGGGTCACGAATGTATGTGGTACGACTTGCAGATGGTCGCAAGTGGCGTAGGCACATAGACCAGTTGAGGCAGCGGTGGGCAACTGACCGTCCCAATGCGCTGCCAGCTGAGTCTCCAGACCCCGAGGACCTTCCGAGACCTCTCCAGGAGGCGAATACTGACGGGCCTGAGGGCATCAGTATTGTTCCAGAGGCAGGGCAGACCCCTACTCTCGAACCAGTAGAAACGGATGGAAGTGTTCCTGACTCTGCGGTCCCAGAGTCTAATGGAGTGCCACTGACAGGAATGTGCCCTGAGCCTAGTCCACCTCGTAGGTCTCAGAGAACGAGACGTGCACCCACCTACCTAAGTGATTACGATTGTTCATGAATGTTTTTGCTTAGGGGGGAGGGATTTGTAATGTATTCAGATGCTGCCCTGAATGCATTAGGATGAACGTGGAATCATCCCATAGAGAAGCTATGATAAGCTTCAGGCTTCGGCTACGATTCGCGCCGAAGACATTGTGGCCAATCATGTTTGAACTGTCTGTAAGCGGGAATGCTTATGATTGGTCTGTTATTCGCTCAACCTGATAGGTTGAAATGTGTATAGTAGGTGTGGCTACATTAGCTCGGAATGTTTAAATACCGAGCAGCTGCAATGGAAAAGCTGTTCGGGCTATCAGAGTTGTACCGTGTCAGAGAAGTTGATCGTCGAGCTGAAATAAACCTGAGTTTTGCTGAATCACTCTCTGACTGATTTGTTAAGCGCTGGACTTAACAGGGAGCTCTCTCAATAACTGCTGCTGAGAGAACAGCTCTGAGAG